CTTCGGTACAAATGGAACTTCGGGAATTCTCGTTCTCGTCCCGTCCCGTCCCATTCCTAAACGGGAATCAATAACTTGTACCATATGGGAATATGGTCCAATACGGAACAGGAATTCGGAACCAGTAATGGGACGGGACGGGATGAGAATTATGCCCTCCCCTACTAAAACAAATGAAATATGTAAAAACAAATGTAGTATGAATTATGGGGTGCTTTGTATAAATGAAATATTTGTTTGGGGGAATGATTTAGTCGTTTTAAAACAAAATATGTAGTTGGTTGCTGTTGCTAATACGTGACATTTACGAACAAGGCCAATGTGGTGGCAAAGTGATTTACGAACAGAGAGGAGCCACCCTGGGAGGGCCTGATGAGCTGTGACGAGACATAGCAACTATTTTAACAACTTTAAGATGTGGCTAGAACAGTTTTTGCATATACCCAATGTTGAGATATCTTCGTGTCACGATTTCATTACAACACAAATTTATTGCATTTTCGTGTCTACTTGGTAATAAATCCATCAATAGAGTTTGTTACTTTAAAATTTATCCTCCAAAAGCATAAGAGCATAACACACTCGATAATTTGCATATCAACTACCATAAAAATGGCTCATTTGATATTTTGTTTACTCCTAATTCTGGTATTATGAGGTTTGTATTATCAAAATCCACTTTTAAAAATCAAATGAGTGGCAAATCAAGTACGTGGATTAGGGATACTAGAAGTACAAGACTGTGGAAAAGCTCGAATGTTTCATGTTTGATTGAACGAGGAAATGGGACTTGTTCGTCTGATGCAACTTCACATCTGCGGCTCCGAACTTGTCTGGTAAAGTGGTTAAGAAAAGTATTAACTATGATGTTGAAGAACCATGTATGACAATTGCGAATGCGAGAGTCATTACATATTATACCTGGAGATATCGTTTCAAAAGCGTGGTGGTACTGAAATCGAATCCTTCGAGATTTGGTTCCTTGAGTACGTGGCGAATGAAGCTGTTTCCTCACTTGAGTAGCCAGAACTTTTCCTAGCTCAAACGAATTAATACCCCAAATAAAGACTTGCACTGCAACTCTGTATTCATAGATCGCCAACAACTGAAAACCAAAATGTGCTCAAGGATTTTGGAAAGGCAACGATCCTCTCATCTCAATCTTAAGAGAAACCGGAAGATAAGAACTGACCTGTCGGACATTATAAGCATTCAATTCTGGAAGTAGAATGCTGAGAGAAGGTCGATTGCCAGAGAATGTCTGTGGAACAATGCCAACAACGAAATCATCTATTTTTCTCATGCAGGTACTCCTCAACGGTTTGGAGAAGCTTAATGAGGCGGTTCCTAGGCTTGCATTACACAAACGTGTGGAGTGAGCTTATAGAACTAACCCAAAACACACACTTCAATCATCTAAGGACA